GGGCCAAAGACCTTGTTCGTTTTGAAAACGTTTTTAGAACGTATCATGTCTGACAAATAATATTTCAGAACATTATTTGAAAATCTATGTTCTTAAAATGTTTCAGAACATTATTTGGCAGACATGAAACGTTCTTAAAACGTTTTTAAAACGTTGAACTGCCCACTGGGTATTTATCTTATATATTATCATGAACAAAAATCATTTTTTGACAATAGTATAATTTTATTAAAAAATTTTTATTTTAATACCTATAGTTAAAATTATTTCAGAAAATAAAGTAAGACAATATTCGTATAACTATATTTTTTAATTTCTCTATTTTATTAATAACGCCTGACATTATAGGTGTGTCAATTTTTAGTTGCTAATACAGCAAATTATTTTTATACTCGAATATTCTATAACATAGAACTTTAATAATATTGTTCAATATACATGAGACCTGGTCTATGAAAAGTTCATGATGTTACATCTGGATCATTCATAAGTTAATTTCCCGTTTAATTTGAAAGGGCTGAAAGTACTTTATTAGTAAAAGTCTTCCCATTGCCTTTAAAATAATTTTGTAGCGTGTTCAGTTCCTGTATAACTGTATTTGATGCTAATATATGGCTCAAAATTTCTGAAGTGGGCCACTAATTTTTCGATGGCGAGATTTTTATAAGTCATATCAATAATTTTATAGTATTTTCGAATCAAAATAAGATCCTAAAGTTATATTGCAAAATTTTAATTTTTTTAAGAGTTATTGTTTAAACAATTTTTAAGCAGCCAATTAGTAAAAAAAGCTTTTCTACGGTTCCATTTGATGGATTTTGCTGAAATTTGGTATGAATAATGTACAATAACCATGCTTTCAAATAAAAAAAATTTGTTTCATTTTGTTCATAATTTGTTGAAAATAGCAACAATTATTATAAACAAATGAAAATTTAATAACCTTCTGCGCCTAATTTCGTATTTTTTCTTGTCAATTATGATTCCCTATTTTATCACGAGTATTTTAAAAAAAAAAAAAGTCAGTATATTGCATTAGGTCAAAAGTTATTAATATATTTGTGATCGCGGTCCGAGAACTAAGTGGAACGCCGCGCCGGACGAATACGCTGAAACACGTTAGAACACGAGCGCGCTCTTGGACCTTGCTGTTTTTTTGAGTGCATGTGTATAATTTAATTTTTAAATTCATATTTATTTGTAATTACCCTTACTAATAAAAAATTATATCTGCATAATATTTAATAATTTTTCTATTTGTACAGAATATTTTGTATACGTAAGTATTTTAAATGCCTATTCGTTCACGAGTATTTTAAAGTTTATTGTTTATGAAAATTATAACCTTATATCACAAATATTTTTCACACTCTGCTTCTATTTCTCATGAAAAATAAAAATGCCGTCACCAAATGTATGCTGCAACCCCTTGTTAAAGAAAAATCATAGACGTGTGATGAAAAACCTTCATTTAGTGACTGAAAAATTTGATAAAAAATTTACTAATCTTGTCGGGAAGTATATTTGCACGTCATGTAAATCCGTGATATATAAGCAAACTGACACTGTGCAGGGAAATGAATTTGAAAAAATTGAAAGTGTACGTATTATTGAATCGAGTGACGAAGATGAAGACAACATTTCAAAAGACAAAAATTACATTCCAGAAGAACCTCGCAATAAAATTGTAAGTGATGATTTAATAGATTTGGTGAAAACGATTACGAGATCATCTGGCAAAAAATTTAAACTGGATATTTCCAATGAAGAACGTAACAAACTTCTAAAAGTGTCTGAAAAAATTGAAATTCAATTAAGGGGTGAGAAACCTTTAGAAAACGAGCTGAACGAAATGTGGGTCAATGACTTGAAAGATGCCATTTCAAAACAAACATCAAAATCTGAAAAAATTTTTCTTTTAACAACAATTCCAGTTGACTTGAGCGTTCGAAAAACTGCAAAATTGTTCAGCGTTTCACGTCGTTTAGCAGCTAGAGCAAAACAATTGCGCTTAAAGAAGGGATATGCATCTCACGTTGATCCAAAACCTGGTCACCCCATGGACTTATCTATAAAGAAAAAAGTAAATCAATTTTACCTATCTGACGAAGTGAGTCGTGTGTTACCTGGGAGAAAAGATTTCAAATCAGTGGTAATTGATGGAAAACGACAGCATTTAACAGTAAGTTTTTTAATATTTAATTTTTCATTAGATAATTTTAAATTTAAATTTTTTATTAGGATAATTGTTTACTGTATTCTGAAAAAATGCAAAATATTCCAATTTTTGTTGGCTTTAAACTTTAAAGTTTTATAACTTAAAATTTATTTAGATGAGATTTTATAATTGATAACATTTTTCCTGTAATATAAATGAGTAATATTGAGTTTATAATAATTGAAAGTGCCTATCATGGAAAAACAGAGTATAGTTTCATTAATTTAAATTTCTTAGTTTGGTCTCAAGTTATCCATCTTTTAATTTCTTTTAATTTAATCCAGATTTTCATCCATTTTTAAAATTATTATAGAAACGATTGTTGATGGGCAACCTTAACGAGTTACACTCCCGATTTTTGAAGGAATTTTCCGAAGTGCAAATTTCTCTCTCGAAATTTCAAAGTTTAAGACCACCTCAATGCGTATTAGTTGGAGCAAAAGGCAACCACAATGTTTGCGTTTGCAAAACGCACCAAAATATCAGATTAAAAATACAAGCCCTAAAACAGGAGTTATTTAAGAAACAAATAGATTATCCTTATTCTTACTGTGATATGTTAAAAAAAATTGTTTGTGAAAATTCTTGTTCTGAATGTTTTCTTTTAAAATGCAAAAAATGCCCTGGCACAAAAATAATTTTGCAAGAAATAAAATCAATTTTTATAAATCAGGGCATAAAGGAGATTTCATTTCATCAGTGGCTCACGACTGACAGGTAATAATTTTATGCTTTACATTTTCATTCTTAATAATTTACAATTAATTCATATGAAACATATTTTTGTAGATGTCAATTTTCGATCGTCACTGAATCTATGAAGGTCTTTTTAGAAAATTTTGCAACAGATTTATTGGCACTTTTAAAGCACGATTTCATAGCTAAATCTCAGGCAGAGCATTTATCAAAATTGAAAGAGAAAATAGGCGAAGGAGAGTTCATAGTCACAGAGGATTTTTCAGAAAATTATTCTTTTAAAATACAAAATGAAATTCAAGCCCAACATTGGCGTAAAGACCAAGTCACGCTACATGTTCACGTTGCATATTATAAAAAAGAGGGCAATTTACAAAACGAAAACTTTGTAATTTTTTCGGAGAATTTGCAACACGATTCGACAGCTGTTCACTTGTTCAACAAGAAATTAATTGAGCATTTAAAAAAAAAATTTGGTGCCAAAAAATTAAAAAAAATTTATTACTTTTCCGATGGAGCTACGTCTCAATATAAAAACAAATATAATTTGTTAAATTTGGCTAATCATAAAAATGATTTCGGAATTGATGCAGAGTGGCACTTTTTTGCAACCGCCCACGGCAAAGGCGCTTGCGACGGAGTAGGAGGCACGGTCAAAAGGCATGCATATTTCACATCCCTGCAAAAAGACACTAATCTTCTTTTGACAACTCCAAAACAATTGTACGAGTGGGCAAGAGGATTTTTTAAAAAAATTCATTTTTGCCTGTGTTCGAATGAAGAGCTTGAAAATCATAGAAAAAGTTTAGAGTTACGATTTTCAACTGCTAAAACAATTAACCAAACACGATCATTTCATTGCTATCAGCCAGGAAAAAACAACACATTATTGTGTAAAATTTTTTCTGGTCAAAAGGAAGCAGTCACGGTTAAGCTTGCTTAAAGTAGAAACTGGCGAATACCAAATAATATAATTCTGAAAATAATAACATTGTTAAATCATTGTTTTAATTTTAAATATTTTTTTGGTAGGCCCTATTTTTTTAAAATATTGTAAACACAACATTGAAATAAAACAATTACGTTTATTTCAAAATTTCTCTTCTCAGATAATATTTTCTTCAATCTGCAATGTAACTTTAGAAATATTAAACATTTATTAAAATCTTAGATTTTCAAATAATGCAAAACAATTTTGTCGCATGCAATGAAGATGTTTAAATTTTTTATTGTTTATATATGTATGTTGAATTTATTTAATAAAAATTATTTTTTGCAATAAACAAAAAATATTGCATCATAAAGTATATTTATTAACGGAAATTTGTTAATGTAACATGTTAAATTTGGACGCAGTACGCGGTCTTGAGGATAGCGAGTCAGTAACTATGATATTGGCGCGTCAATAGGGCACTGAGCGTCAAGAGAAAAAGTACCATAACTTTTGACCTAATGCAATATACTGACTTTTTTTTTTTTTAAAATACTCGTGATAAAATAGGGAATCATAATTTACAAGAAAAAATACGAAATTAGGCGCAGAAGGTTATTAAATTTTCATTTGTTTATAATAATTGTTGCTATTTTCAACAAATTATGAACAAAATGAAACAAATTTTTTTTATTTGAAAGCATGGTTATTGTACATTATTCATACCAAATTTCAGCAAAATCCATCAAATGGAACCGTAGAAAAGCTTTTTTTACTAATTGGCTGCTTAAAAATTGTTTAAACAATAACTCTTAAAAAAATTAAAATTTTGCAATATAACTTTAGGATCTTATTTTGATTCGAAAATACTATAAAATTATTGATCTGACTTATAAAAATCTCGCCATCGAAAAATTAGTGGCTCACTTCAGAAATTTTGAGCCATATAGAAATTGATAAGAGAAATCGAATTTACAGTTACTTAAAAAAAATATATATTCTGCCTTGAATATTACCAGTTTCTGTAGAATCATCAAAATATTTTTATCATACTTGAAGAGGATGTGTAAAAATATTGAAATGTTTTCTATGAACAACTAATGAAATTCGCATGTCTCGTAATATTATTACTTAAATTTTGTTTTTATTTTTTAGGATTATAATTCCGTAATATCAGGTATGACTCCTTTAGAAATTGAGCAAAAACTTTCTGACTTATTACAAGAAAATGCCAAATTAAAAGAAACTTTAATTGAAAATAATGTGGCAATGAAAAAACAATTTAACTCACTCGCGGCTTGGCAAGAAACAATTTCATCTGTACATCAGAATCATAGAGAAAAGTTTGCTGAAACTCGAGAATTAATGGAACAGCTCAAGAAAGAAAACATGAAACTTAAAATTAAAGTATCAATCAGTGAACTCCAAGATGTCTCTCTTCAAAAGGTAAACGTAAAATAGAAATTTATTAAGATTGCAGGATTTTTACTGTCATGGAATACCTGAAGAGGTTAAAATTTTTATAAAATATTGTTCTATAATGTAGGCTTACATATTTTTAATACTTTTTATAACACCTTGCGTCAAAAACTCAACTAAATCGCTGTCTTTTACGCAATTAGCTACATGTAAATATAAACGGATTTTCAGCTTATATTAGGTTATATTTTAAAACTAATTTTGAATCTTTTATTTTGCTTAAGAACTTCATTGCTATTGTACTATAAATTTTCTGTAAAATAAATTATATTTAACAATAAATAACTGAAATTAACTATTTTCACTTTTTAATATCTTTTAGACGGCAGCTGAAGACCATTCTATACTACCAAGTCTAACTCACGTATGTAATTGTTCATGTCGTGCAGAACTTGTAAAACTTCTAAAAGAAAAAATGATGGCACTAATTGATCATGATGAGACTTGTTTAAAATCAGTAGAAAATTTAAACGCAACTGTTGAAAATTCCGATAAAAATTTAACTGAAGAGTGCCAGGCCTTACAAAAAATGGACACAAAAATTATTCTACCAACATTAAAGTTGAAAGAATGCACAGAAGAGGGAAATAAAATGGTAACAAATGTGGAGCAACAGATTGATACCATTAATGAAAACGTAATATATATATATATATATATATTTGACCGGCAAAACCTGAAGACCAGGCAAAACCCGAATTGCCTAAGCATTTTGGGTTTTGCCTGGTCTTCGGCTTTTGCCGGTAACATATATATGGGTGATTCTACAAACGAGGGAATTATGAGCGGTCAAACTTATTTTGTATATTAATTTTGAAAATAATAATTTTATTTTTGATGAAAAATCAACATTCTGATGAATTTACAGTTCGTTATTGTTGTTAATTAAACTAAACTAAATGTGATACCACGCGTGTTTTATTTAATCTGTTATTCTATTAACCAAGATTTTTCAATTTGTGACCAAGATTGCGTTGTGACCAGAAAAATTCTCATTCGTCTGGCATCCATTTTTTTGAAAAAAATATTATTCTTAGGTCCTTTTATAGGCTTATGTATTGCAAATTTGAATTCCCTATCGGATAGAATTGCTTATTTTTTTATTTAATGTTGTTTCTACCTTTTTTTAAAAAAAACTGCCAAATTCTCATTCGTCTGGAACTTTTGAGACAGGATATACATTAAGCACTAAAAACAGCTTAAAACTAATAATTTTTTAACAATTTTCGATTTTCTTGACTTAAAATAATCCTCACTAAATTTTTAAGATATTGCTAAACCCCAATCTTTAATTTTCATTTTGTATATATAATTATACTAATATAAATAAACAAATAAAAAGTACTTTTTTCCTGTGAATCGTATGAATATCACAATAAAATAGAAATATTTTTTATTATTAGACACTTTAAGTACTCCTACAGATTTGTGATTTGTAAAATTATGTTCTAGTAGAACACACATAATTTGTTATAAACAAATTATATAAACAAATTTCTAATTAAAGCGATACCTTTTATTGATCCTTTTAAACTTTGTTAATCGGGGGTTTTCGGGGTCGCTGATTACGAATTCGACGTCAGTTTTTCAAAATTAAAAATGGCGGATCCAATATGGCGGACGACTTTTGAAAAATCTTATTAATTTAAATTAACTTGTTTATCAAAATTATACGTGCAAAAAATGTTTCATTCCTTACTTTTCTTTTTAGAATTACCAGATTACGAGTTTTAAGCCAGATTTTCAAAATTTGACTATTTTAAAGAAATATCTTAAAAATTGTGAAACTTTAAAAATTGGACTTTAGATTAGTTATCAATAATTCAAAAACTCCTGGATTTAAAATTTAATAATAATCGAATTTTTTTTAAAAACTCGTTTAATACAGTAGATCTGCACATTTTAAATATGAAAAACGGACGTCGGAATTATTACTAGCGACCCTGAAAAGTTACCAAGTAAGTAGTTTCCAGTGATTTGAAATATTTGTCCGTCATGTTGCATCCGCCATTTTAAATTTTGAAAAACTGACTTCGGATTCATTTTCAGCAAGCCCGAAAACCCCCGAGTAGAGAGTTTCAAGCAAATACGAACGATTTTTTTAAAAAAATTCCGCCATTTTGAATTTTGAAAAACTGACCTCGGATTCGTAATCAGCGACCCTGAAAACCTCCGAATAATAAATTTTGTATAAATCCATCCATTATTTTTTGTGTTAATGTGAATTTTCTATACACGATCTTAATTTCCTGGATAAATTGTTTATAAACAACCATAACTTTTGTAATTTTTAATATTTTGTCTGGACACTTTCAGATATCTTTTTTAGTGTCATTGACTTGAAATTAATGTACTTTTCAGACTTTAAATTAGAAAAAAATGTGTCCATATTTTCTTCATTTTCGTCCTTCGTTTGTAGAATCACCCATATATATATATATATGTATATATATATATATATATATATATATATATATATATATATATATATATATATATATATATATATAGTAGAATTAAGGATATATTTTGAATATTTTTTTATTTTAAAATTAAAATGGAATGTTTCATTATTTTAGACTATTACTTCGATTCAATTGCCCGATTATGTGGAATCAATTGTAAAACGAATTCCCCGTACTGAATTTCGTCAACAATTAATTGATAATATGAAGCCATATCATGAAAGTTTGGAAGTACTTATTAATTGTTTTTCTGTTCAGTCATCACGTTATGTCCACGTTCAGGAATGTATAAAAAAATGCATAGAAATATTACAGAATTGTGGAACTATTAACAGTAAAATTCCAAATGATAGAAATTCTACAATGATATCTTACAAAAATTCTCTAAGTGAATGTCGTCAAAAACTTATTGACGAGCAGCTAAAAGATATTGATCATCATCAAAAGTGGATAAGAATACAAAATCATCTTAAGAAACTTTTTTATGACTATACATCAACTCTATGTGAATTTGAGATACTGCAAGAGCAAAACAGAAAATTGTTAACAATTCAGAAGGAGAATGATCATGAGAATTATTCGTGTGATAAGCATAGCGAAAAGGAAAACACTATATTGAAAGAAAAGGTGATAAATATTTCTCTTGAAAAATTATCTCTTCACGAAGAGAAAAAGTCATTAGATAAACTTCAAAAATCACTTGTTATTGATCGAGAAAGCTTAAATACCGAAGTAGAAAAACTAAAATTGGAAAGATTAAATCTATTAGGAGAGAAAACAGCTCTTGATAGACAAAGTAAAATGTATGAGGAGCAAGAGAGAGCTTTAATCATTGAGAAAAGAAATTTTATGAAAATGTCTGAGGAACTTACTGGGAAGATTGTAGATTTAGAGGAGAAGCTCAAAAATCAGAATGAATCAACATATACAGACGTGAGTTTCTTGTTTTTTATTGGTTTAATAATGTAATTATTTTTAATATTTTCAGTTATTCAACTTAGGTTAGTTGAGCAGACTTTTAATATGTTCATATATTCTGACGCATGAACAAAACAATCCTGTTTATTTGTTATTCATGTTCTGATATTAGGGGAAAAACGCGTTCATTAAAACATTTTTTATTTTCAAGTTATTTGACGTTACATTTTTTACCATTGATCAGTATATTTAAAGACAATACAGATGTGATAATAATTTTATTTTATTTATTATTATTTATGTTAGATATTCAATTTAAACCATATTCTCTTTTTAAAGTTATGTCTCTTTCGCGCCAATCAATCATAGATGTCTCTTTAATCGACACAAACAAAAGAATGTAATGTGTGTGTACACATTACATTCTTTACTTTCTTGTACTTTGTAGTAAAAGCCACGCTTTCTGGAATATTGTAATAAATCATTCTCAATTGTATTTGGTATTCTCTCGACTATTTTTCCGATCAGGTTATGGGCCCAGGCCCCGCGAAAACAATACTTTAATTCGAGTAATGTAAAAATAATTCCGGGAGTGTCGTTTCTACCTGAAAATAAGTTAATTCGAAAAGTGTTAAAGTGTAACCTCAAATCAATTAAAAATGGCAGCAGGTGGAAGCATGAACTCCATCAGAATCGAAATGTTATCGCGTAATAATTACGACACATGGAGGATACAAACTGAAGCTCTATTCATAAACAATGACACATGGACCTATGTCTCAGGAGAAACACCACAACCCGAAATTCCAGAAGATGAAGCACGACGAGAAGCCGCACACAAAGCATGGCTGAAAGCCGACCAAAAGGCCAAAGCAGACCTTATACTCTGTATCAGTCCTCCAGAACTAAACCAAATAAAAGGATGCGTTAAATCCCATCAAATCTGGACCAAGCTTGAAACAATCTACGCGTCAAAAGGGTCTGCCAGAAAAGCCACGCTTCTCAAACGACTTATACAACATAAAATGGCGGAAGGAGACGACGCTAAGCAGCACCCCGGCGAATTTTTCGATGTAGATGACAAGTTTCAATCTATGAAAATTGAAATAAACAGAGATTTTCTATCCATTATATTATTATACAGCCTTCCAAGCACCTTCGAAAATTTTCGCTGCGCAATAGAATCCCGCGATAAGCTGCCCGATCCCGACAGTCTCGAAATTAAAATCATGGAGGAATATAACGCCAGACAACGAAATAAAGATAAAGACGATTCGGCCATGTTCGTAAATCCGAAGCGAAATTCGTACAACAAGAGGAAACGCCAAATATTGGAACTCGAAACTCGGAATAAAAACTCCAAGTTTAATGGAAAGTGCAATTTCTGTGGTCGAAAAGGAAACAAAATAAGTGAGTACACACATAAACACAAACATGAAAACCAATCCGCGAGTGTAGCAGAAACATCGCTGTTTCTTTATCCCGAATAGGACCAAAAATACCAGTGATCTGTGGTGCATCGACAGCGGATGCAGTTCTCATTTAAGCCACGACAAAAGTGTTTTTACCGACATTGTTAAAACAGAATCCCAAGTAAAACTCGCGAGTAGTGCCACGACACCGGTAATCGCGAAAGGAAACGTGAAATTCGGCGTAAGTAATTCGGAAAGCTCAATAAATCTAAAAAATACTCTATACCCGCCGGACTTTAGAACAAATTTGATCTCTGTGTCAAAAATCGTCGACAACGACTACGAAGTCAATTTCAAGAAAAATTCTTACACGATTTCGGACGCGAGGGGGGTAATCAAACTGACAAAAAAACTTAATAGGAGATTTATTTTACTTATCTAAAGCTCCGACCGAAATAAATATCGCGAATGTCGCGATAAATACTAAAAGTAACGCCGAAATATGACACGATCGTCTCGGACATTTAAACAAAAAGGACATGATCGACATGCTCAGAAACAAACATGCGACCGGTTTCGAATTTGACGTTTCGATCGACTTAAGCAAATGTGAAACATGTTTATCCGAAAAATTCAGAAGTACACCGTTTCCAAAAAGAAAAAATTCATCGAAAGTACCTATGGAATTGATCCATACCGATTTGTGCGGGCCGATGAGAAACGAATCTCTCGGAGGGAAATTTTATTTCGTAACGTTCATCGATGATTATAGTACGTTGTGTCAAGTGTATTTTATCCGGAAGAAAAACGAAGCTGTCGACAAATTCATGGAGTTTAAAAATATGGCGGAAAACCAAACGGGACACAAAATCAAAGCCGTTCAATCGGACAACGGTCGCGAGTACATTAATCAAAGTTTAAGTGTCATGTTAAAAAAGTTCGGAATCCACCATCGCGTTACCGTGCCGCATACGCCATAACAAAACGGCGTTGCTATACGCAAGAATAGAACGCTCGTTGAGGCCGCTCGTTGCATGTTATTACAGTCAAGAAAAACTCTCAGTTTTTGGGCAGAAGCAATTGCTACCGCTAACTACATACAAAATCGTTGCATCACAAAAGGGATCGAAGATGGAAAGCCATATCAACGTTGGACAGGAGAAAAGCCCGATATCTCAAACCTGCGAACATTCGGCGAAAAAGTGTTTATCTTGTACAAAATCGTTTTGTCAAGAGATGTAAAATTCCTCGATTCTTTTGAAACAGAATACGATAATTCTTCACACTTGAAGGAGACGGATCTCATAGAACAATCAAAAGTCGACATCAAGTCAACTGACAGTCCAGAAATCATCGAAATTGAACCCATCGATAGAAGTTCAATACCCACAGTCGATGAGCAATGCCCACTCGATCTTGAAGAACGAGTAAACCCGGACAATTCAATAAACGATGAATCACCATTCCTCGGATTCCAAAGAGATAATGACAGGAACAACTCAACAATTAGTGAATCTCCACTTCTTGGATCTGAACGAGAACTCGATTACTCAATAAATAGTGCATTTATTCTGTCTATAAATTCAATAAAAAAATTTTGTCAGGTATGTTTTTTCAAGGTTTTTTCATGCTCTTTCCAATGGTGAATTTCGTTTTTAAAATTTTTGAATTTTGAGCTTGATTTTCTATAATTAAACATAAATTTTCTATTTTCACTAAAATCGATGCGTTTTTTAAAATAAATAATTGCAAACGAAAGCTGTGATTTTTTCCGATCTGTATATAAATTTTTAGAATGCCGATTTTTTTTGATTTCGAGATATATAAATTTCAAAAAAGATCAAAAAATTTTTTGGGGATATTTTACTATCAGGTAGGACAACAATTTCCGCAAGTTTCACTTTTTTTCGAGAAATCAATTTTTTAACTCAGGACATTACATGTAAAATGCCTCATTTTGACATATAAATTGTGAAAACCGAAAAGAACGAAAGCATTCTCAAAAAGGCCAGAAAAATGCTCAACGATCTGAAAACCGGAGACAAAGTATGCAAACTCCGAAAATCTATTTATGGATTACGACAATCAGGTCGCAAATTGCACGCAAAATTAGATAAAATTCTAAAATCAATGGATCTGAAACCAACGAACTCTGATACTTATCTCTACGTTGACGAAAATGAAGACGATCCAATATATGTACTTATCTACGTGGACGATATCCTACTCATCTCGAAGAATGAAACGAAAGTGAACAAAATCAAGAAAAATCTCTCACCTCACTTTGATGTCAGGGATCTAGGAGCCGCAAATTGTTGCTTAGGGATTGAAATCCATCAAACGCAAGACCAGGTAACGTTATGTCAGACAGGATACATAAACGAATTATTATCCAAGTTCAACATGACCGAATGCAAACCGGTGAAGACTCTTCTCGTCTGTGGAACTAAACTGGAAAAACCAACACCATCCGAGAATACAACTTCTCTTCCATCCAGGAAATTAATCGGAGCTCATTTTTACTTGACAATCGGGACTCGTCCCGACATCGCTCATGCCGTGAACCTTCTCAGCCAGTTTAACAATGATCATGGACGACATCATTGGGAGGCAGGCAAACAAATTTTACGTTACCTAAAAGGGACAGCAAATATGAAGCTGATCTACACGCGAAATAACAAGGAAGTCATTGGATATGCTGATGCTGATTGGGGAAATTGTCTAATGGACTGAAAATCCTACTCAGAATATTCCTTCATCGTGTCAGGCGGAGCAGTGTCCTGGTGTTCTCGAAAAAAAGACCGTTGCACTCTCATCGACCGAGGCGGAGTATTTGAATCTCAGCGAAGCAGCAACAGAAGGAATTTACTACAGTACACTACTAGGCGAATTGAATCTCAAGGACATGTCAAAAATCACCATTTTCAACGATAATAAATCAGCCGGTAAACTCGACAGTAACCCTGTGTTTCATGCAAGATCGAAACACATAAGCATTCGACACCATTTTATCCGAAACGCAATCCAAGAATACCCTCTCAAGCTGATGTATCTTCCTACCAAAGATATGACAGCAGACGTCCTGACCAACGCCCTTCCGGCAGCCAAACATGAAAAATGTACAATTGAATTGGGACTACGTGTGTTATAAATTAAAAGACTTTTGAATCAGTGTTTTTAATTAAGGCGGAGTGTTAGACATTCAATTGAAACCATATTCTTTTTTTAAAGTTATGTCTCTTTCGCGCCAATCAATCATAGATGTCTCTTTAATCGACACACACACATTACATTACATTCTTTACTTTCTTGTACTTTGTAGTAAAAGCCACGCTTTCTGGAATATTCTAATAAATCATTCTGAATCGTATTTGGTATTCTCTCGACTATTTTTCCCATCAATTTAATAATAATTCTTAATATTCTTACAATATTCCTGCAATGTCGCCAATATTGCAATGTAATATTACCTACATTTAAAGCAATGTGAAAAATAAAAAGTTGCTTTATGAGGAAATGCATTAAACTTTTTTTAATATATAAAAGTAAAGAAACAATTAAATTTTTTGATTTCTAACATCATATTTAACCAACTTCAAGGTT